AAGATATTGATTTCCCTTTTCAATAATATTTTTCAAAAATTTAGTAGCTTCAAGTATTGAAAAATTTCTGCAAATTAGAGAAACTCTTCTTGTAACTTAAATCATTTCTCCGCAAAAGCTTGGCATTACATGGTGGGTGCCATCTTGGAGAGCTGACTACTACATTCTACAGTTGTGATCGTTGCAGTGCTGGTTGTTATATTCTCAGGTTAATCAAACAGATTCTCTTCTTCCTCAGTGTCCATCACCCCTGTTTGAAGCTATAACACGATGACATCACAGTAATGATCCACAGAACTGATTATGATTCCAATATGCAAGAACCAAGAAATCAAGAGGGTAGAGGCATCAAACTGACTCAAAGATCTGATTATTTATAAATGTTCCTTGAATTTATTTCTGAACATGCCATGCGTGTCTTTTTTATTGCTTTGTGATAACCCCATCTGGCTTGTAAACTTCTAATGGAAAAGACAATGTTTTCATATCTTTAACTAGGTATACAACAGGAGTTTCATGCTTGTTGAACAGTAATTAGATATAGATAGCTAAAAATATTTATTGTATAAATATTTGAGTGGATAAAAAGGTGAACAAATAATTCTTTGATAATTTCCCATTGATCTCAGAATGAGATCTTCATGTGAGTGTGGCCTGTCACATCTGGCTGCAGCCTACCTGTCCAACCTCATCTCATTTTCCCCTTCACTTACTGGCCTCCGGCTCCACTCACGACCTTCAACACCTCAAGCCTCTTTCCACCTTGCGGTCCTTTGCACCTATTTCTGGAGTTATTCCCCCAGCACTTTGCATGCATGGCTCCTTCTCATTCTCCAGATCTCAGCTTGCCTGTGGTTCCCTTAGAGAGTTTTCCTTGATCACCTCACTAAAGTGGGCTTCTGCAGTTGCCCTCCCTTTCCTCTTCCTGGTTCTGATATAGTCTGTAGTCCTATTGCTCACTTACCTATTTTCTAGTTTATTGTCAGTCCTTTCTACATGAGGCCACAAATGCTATGAAGATAGAGACCAATTTCGTCTCTTCACTTCTGTATTTGCAGACTGCCACAGTCACTGAATTAAAGAAAAAATAAATGCGTGAATGAATGATGATATCAGAAAACAGGCTGTATGCAAGACTGCCTTTTGGTGCCAGATTTCATTGTGTTCTGAGGTGTGTGTGTGTGCGTGTGTGTGTGTGTGTTTTACCCTTAAAAATAGGAGTGATTGTATTTTAAAATTTTCCTATAGAGCATGAGATTGGGTGATTGGGTAAATGGTTTGTCGCTATCATGGGTTTAGATATGCTATCAGGCTTTTAATCTGAGTATTTCTCGTACTTAGTATCAGAATTTCATAAAGCAATATCACAATCAGGAGGGATATGGAACACAGAGACAATCACAAATATTGAAGCTCATCCAGGATTGTCTCTTAAAGGCATCCATTTAGAAAGAGTAAGAGAAGCTCACCTGAAATTGAAATATGGAAAAACATTTGGGATCATTAGCAGGATGGCACAGGAAAAACCAGTGTGCATTGGGTGCTAGTTCTAGGTCTGTGACTAATTATGAACTCTGGGCAAGTCACTTAACCTCTCTGAGTGTTGGTTGGTTTCATTGGTAGAAGTGAAGATGAGGGGTTAGGTCAATGACTTTGAAGCTGTGCTCTGTTGAAGTTTGTGAGCTATGGTGTGATGCATGGGAAGGGGGTTCTCAACCCCTGTTCCAAACAGAGAAACTGCTTTGATTGAATTTTTATATTGAAGCACTGAATACATTTGGATTTTCAAACAGGTCTTACTGCTTCAGAACATTTGAACACCACTAGCATGGACTGTTTCCACTATCCAATGGTAATTTTTCAATACTCTAAAAGATTATGAATTCAATTTTTAAAATTAATTGAAGATGTACTCTAGCAAGGCACTATGCTGGTTGCTAGAAGATGAAGAGTGTACATAGCCTAGCCTATAGTCTATTGTAACCACATATGATGTCTATTAAAAGTCCACAACAGCACGTACCCTTCCCAATGTGCTATGGTGAGTGCTGTGAACTGTGCAAGACCGTTGAATCACAGATCTGTACCTCTGAAACAAATAATATATTATATGTTAAAAAAAAGAAAAAGATAGCATGAGGGGAAGAATGAAGGGGGGGAAATCGGAGGGGGAGACGAACGATGAGAGACAACGGAATCTGAGAAACAAACTGAGGGTTCTAGAGGGGAGGGGGGTGGGAGGATGGGTTAGCCTGGTAATGGGTATTAAAGAGGGCATGTTCTGCGTGGAGCACTGGGTGTTATACGCAAACAATGAATCATGGAACAGTACATCAAAAACTAATGATGTACTGTATGGTGATTAACATAACAATAAAAAATTTTTAAAAAAAAGTCCACAACAGCGATATAAGCACAGAACTATGAAGCTCATAAGAGGGGACGTTCTGGGGGTACACATATGTATATATGTGTGTGTGTGGGGGGGTGGGTGTACGTATATGTGTGTGAATGTAAATATATGTGCATGTGTATGTATATATGTATATACATGTACAGACACATAGCATATGAATATGTATTAACCTATATGCATTATAGGTTACACATGAATATATTATATATTGATCTTCTACTTACATATAAAACATTATATATAATACATATGCACATATATATGTCATATGCAACCTAGAAGGAAAGGAGGTAAAATTTGTGTTTAATAGATATGTCTAGTTCATACATAGAACTTTCATCTCCCCTCATGTTCTACTCTCCTGAATCACAATGTTTTCATACTACAGGTAGCTGGAGGGTAACTACATCATTGCTGATGTATCCCTCATTGTTTCTTACCAGACTGTGTTAGCTTCTTTACACTTGTGATGGTGCAGACAATGGTTATGGTCCGTAAGGAGACAGATTTGTCAAATACTGCTTTGCTTCATTAAGTGGACATCCATTTTACACTGCAAATCATGGCATGTACTTAAGTAAATTCCATCAAGAGATTTACCATATTTTTTAAAACAGTAACTATTTTTTTCAATTTTTGGATCAAGAAGTTATTTCTGGTAGTTAATTCAATTGGAACCCCTAATGGATTTGAAGATTGTCAACACCTCCTAAAGGCTCACATAATGGTGATCTTTAAAGACAATGTTGTTCATCTTTATTTCTGCAGATCTTAGCAGAGTATCTTATGTATAAAGTGCTCAATTTTTTAATAAGAAAACGTCATCAATTATTTTATAGGAAGCAAACCCCTTATTGATAGGAGCCGGCAGTGCTGTAAATTGTGCTACTAAGTATCAATAACATTTTATTATCAAGTTAGCACAGATTACATTTACCCACCAGACCTAAAACGAAAAGAAGAAAATACTGATTTTTATGATTGTAGTTGTAAAAAAAAACAGTATTTTAGGATGAGCCATCAATTCTAATGGCTCTGGAATAAAGTATGAGCATATACAAATTCAAAGAAAATGGTTAAAGTTTGAAAATTCCTTGGAAAAAATGGAAACACTTCTAAAATACATACCAGTGTTCAGTCATCTTTCATACAAGAAGTTGGTGAACTTTTTCTGTAGAGGGCAAGATGGTAATGTTTTTCGTTTTGTGAGCCACCTGGTCTCTGTTGCAACTACCTAGTTCTGCCATTTTACCTCTTCAGCAGTAAGGAATATATTAATGAAGGGGCACCACTGTGTTCCAGCAAAGTTGGCATAGGGCCAGATATGGCCCAGGGATCATAGTTTGCCAACACTGATCTATATGGTTACAAATGAGTCTTGTACATGTCTTTGTTTTTCCAATGAAAATTTAAAGATATTTTTTAATGCTGGGTCATAAAGATGTTCAGAAGAATCATTTTCAAATTCTCCATTCCAAGATTACATTTAAGGAGGTGAAATAAAGAGGAGATACGTTCTAATTTATCACACTTTAGCAGTAGCTGTCAAATATAGTATTTAAACTACTATTGACATAATTCAGCACATGAAATTAATTTCATGTGTTAAGTCTGTCTTCACAACATTTGATGATATTGAGCATCATCTCTGGCAAATACCAATGAATAATGGTAATCTGAGCTTGTAATTTTTAATTAATAATTTTATTAATTTGGGGGATTTAAAATATTATTTTTAGCATGACTTACTTAACATCTTTTTCAATGTTGGGAAAGTGAACAAAACTTCATGAACCAACTTGATTCAGAATAATGATGAATTAAAGAGCCTTAGGCTTTACAAACCACTAAGATGTGATTTACCTGAAACTACAACTTAAGTTTGAATTCTCAGCTCAGATGAAATGTTATTTACACATATTATTTATTTTGTATCACTCAATAACTGCCGACTCTTAAAAATATGGTGGAGGCTCAGATGAAAACTTTCACTGTTCTAAAATAACCACTGAACATACAAATAACTTTTCCTAAAAGTGTATCCTCTACCATCTGAGAGGTTGTGTGGTCTAGAGGAAAACAGCATTGGGCAGGCATTAGGAGACCCAGTTACCATCCCAACATGTTATAAATCAACTAGATCTGAACAGACTGGTTTCCTAGAATACATTCATTTACTCTTGTGTAATGTAGGAATAGGATGATAACTTGTATTAGTAGGTATGCAGGTCCCTTGTAAGTTATCAATTACTATATAAAACAAATGCAAAGATTCTTTCTCTTTCAATGCTTTGGAAGGTGGTAAGCATTGCTACTTCTAAATTGTGACTTAAGCTTTTGTTTCATTTTGTTTGCAAAAGGGAGGAGAAGGTTCTTTTAAAAATCATTATGTAATTGTCTTTGTGGTCTTCCCCTCTTTAATATATTGTCATTTCTTTCACCTTGTTGAAGCTTCATGAGTGAGCATCGAAGTGTGTTCAGCAGTTGGAAATGTAAGTATGATGCAGTGAGAATCTACATACATATATTCATCAAAACATTTCACAGGGATCTCAATACTAAGTATGCGGTGGATGGGACAAAATCACAACAGGCAACTTTATTTGTAGAATTTGATCCAAAACCCAAGAAAAAAATAAATTAAAAGCGCTGAGTCTCTATTATGTTTGTACACAAAATAAATCAAAAAATACATCAGCGTTTACCATGAGATCATTTAAATGTATTCGCAAATGATTTGGCAAGGGAAACGTGATTTACAACACGGGAAACTTCTTTTAACAACCAGAGACTTAAAAGCACTGCACTGTAGGTCACCTACACTAGGTTAGCAAGAATGAACAAAGTGGTAGGTCCAAAAGGCAACCCCCGAACACCTTCCTCAGACGGAGACTTTGGTAACTGTCTGTGGTAAAAAAACAAAAAAACAAAAACAAATAAACACCAACTCCTGTTCTTCACCATGCTGGATGGTCATTTCATTTCATTTCATCCATTCTTCTCCCACAGTGATGAGTCCATTTTAAATACTTCAGTTATTATGAAGACACTCCAAATCCACAGAGCAGCAGACACGTCCATTCTGTGCATCAAGACGTAAGGGTTAGCCAACTGAGACAAAGGCTATATATCAATCAGCAGTGTGCATTTTCATATTCAAAATGACCATATCTACATTTTGACATAAACTCCATGAATGCTACTGAAAAGTTAAGAAAAATGCTAGGGAAGGAGTGGTAAGGGAGGAAGGACATATGAGACCCTCTAGAGTCCCTCCTGCTAGATCTTGCTGGCAGGATGATCTTATACCTCTGTCTGAGCTTTGGGACTCCTCCCCCTATATTTCCAGGTTGTTTATACAACTAATTCACTGGACTTATTCTAGGTAAAACTGCTTTCAAAAATAAACCCCTCAAAGATCATTTGCTATGAACAAAGCTAATCCAAAGTACCACAAGGACCTGAAGGCAACTCCAAAATGGGTTCCAGAAAGGTTTTAATATTAGGAATATAGTCTCTCATGGTGACTATGAAGGTAACAGTACATGTTTAGATATATAAATTATTGGAAATTCATTAAAAATCAAGGACACGCAGTAATGTAAATACACCTTTATAATCCCCCTAAATTAATCTCAAACCTGACCTCAAAGAAATACTACTAAATAACACAGTTTCCACATCCTCCGGTCATTTTGTTTGCTGGGGCTGAAGGTATATATATACACAGGACCATGGTTCTTTTGCTATGTGGAGTTTGATATTGGCCTTTTTCTATTGGGGCTGAATCTTAAGATGGCACTTTCTCATCTACCTTTGTAACAGCCATAAAAAGATGAGTTGGGAACCTTCCACTGATGTCTGGAACTGAGCCAGGATTTGATAGAACCAAACAGACTAATATTTTAAATGTGCTTAATCACGGGAATCTTAAACAGATGTTTTGGCGGAGATTTGACACTGCCTAACCCCTGCTCCGAGTCGAATGTAGTCATAGCTCTTCCAAGCATTGTAGGGAGGAAGGGGTCAGTTTTTAATTTCAAAGACATATGAGGATCCCTCATGGGAACTCCTCTAAAAAGACAGGAAAATAATCACAATTAATTAAATCCTGCAGCAAGAGCTTCAGGTTCCCGCATTAGGCACTGTGATAATTAAACAAAGCAAACAACTTCACAGAACACTTTTTTCTAACACTGACAGTTTCATGAAAGAGCTTATAAAATGTTCCAGGATGAAAAGAGATCTTTTTTCCTTTCTTTCTTTTCTTTTTAATATGCAGGTCAAAATAGCTTAAATCAGCCATAATTGGTCCTAGTGTCAATTGTCAAAATTCTGTAGTTCAAAGGCATGAGAGAGGACTATTTTATTCCATGTTCATTTGGAGTTTGCCTTTATACACAGTGCAGCTATGATCCATTCAGACATATTAACCTCCTGTGAGAAGTAAACGCCTGCCTGTGTTTTTACCATAGCCCTCAGAATCTGTGCATTCAGAAACATCAGGAATGGACCTCCTGCAGTTACTCTCTGACAACTGTTCAAGGCCTGATTGTCCTCAGGACCTCCAATTACCTTGCATTTGCAGGTTGTGCAGGGAGATCCAGCCATTGTCCACACTGAGCCGCTAAGCCTTGAAATGCCATAGCTGTCCAGGCAAGTTTTTCTGATGTCGTAGGCGATGTTATCAGCCAGGCAGGGGTCACTGACACAGCGGGGACAACACTCCCCTTCCAAGATGGCTGTGTACTCACAGCTCAAATTGGGGCAAGGGAGTGGCCAGCAGTCTACCTCTCCTTCCTGTAGAGAGAAAGCCAAAAATGGCTCATCCATGTCCTTATGCACAATTCTGTTACCAAAGTCCCGGGGGGGGAGGGGTGGGCAGTAATTCTCATCATTGTCCTTACTGAATGTTTTTACTTCCACCTTTATGGGTAGAATATGCTTCCTCCTTGAAGAGCTACCACAAATATCACCTCCTCCAGGGTGCTTTTGCTGACTGTCTAGTGCAGCCCCAAAAAGAGGCAGGTCCTATCCCTGTGTCCCATAATTATCTTTATCGTCATACTTATGATCCTTATCATCACTCTCAGTGCAATTCCAGATTAAGTTTTGAGCCTTTAGGCTTTGGCCTTGTTTCTTTATCTTGCTGGTACTTAGCACAGTTTGGGTCAAAAAATGCTAATCAAATGGGCAATGAGTGAAGAGGTGATAAGGTGTTGGCTAGTGTTTAAAGAGAAATGAATTACTCTCAAGGTCAAAGGGGAACTTGAAGCACTGTAATATTTCACCCACCTCATAAACTGAGTTCCTAGTATCAAATTTAAAATTGAGATTGGGCAATATCAAGAGAACTATTTCAGAATGGTTTTGAATGTGACCTGTAGCTAGGAACATCACTAACATATAGCAAGGTGTTACAGTTCAGATGGAGCCTCTGTATGTTTCAGGATCTGGCAACTGTGGCTCCATTGAGCTGCCTATAACTCTTTCTCTATGCAGCCTCTTCTTCTGTTATCATGACAAGTCATTATAATTTATGCAAACTCACGTCTAATTATTTGGTCAGCTTCACCAGAACAATGGCCTTTGGTGACAGACCACATCTATCATGCTCACCATGATAGCATCCAGAGACTAGCACATGCAAAGTCTTGATAAATATTTATTAAATATGACCCACATTATACTCAAGTAATTATTAAGCTATGTGTTCAACATCCTCAGTTTTCCCAGGAAATATTAACCTTAGGGGCTGGGGATGGAAGTGAAAACACTTCTGAAATGCTCTGAAAATTTCATGTCTGAAATTAATCCCGATTCTTCTAAGTGCCTGATGACTGGCTTCTTGAAAAAGAAATGCAATTTTCCAGACTGATATGGAAGCTAATTTTTATAGTTGTATTGGGTTTATTTGCCCTTGGATGGGAGCTTGAAAAAAATGGCTTTGATTTAAATATATCTGAGTTATACTCTTCAGTAGTAGGAGTGAGTCAGAAAAATGCTTTCTATTAAGATGATCTGCACATTCACCATGAGACTTTAGAAAATCTGATAGCAATTTACAGTACAATTTCTCTAAATGCTTGTCTTCATACAGTATCCATAGACTAAATCACTAATTTCAGCCAGTGTTAAACTATGGAATGTAGCTAATAGGTTCCATTATAAGTTGACTTGGTTGTGACTTGGTTCCAGAAGTTATGACTTCCTCGCAGATGGAACATCATATGCACTCTGATTATGTTTCCCAACAGTCTTTGCATCCTTTAGAAAGCTTTGTGTGTGGTGTGATTCGAAACAGAGAGAACCAGGTCCAGCAATTAAGTTTTTTTCTCTGGACACTCTCAAATCTGATGATACCATTAGTATTTTTATATTAAGAGCCAAAACTACCTTCATTTTTTTTCTTTATGAAGGTTTAGCATCCAAAACAGAGTTTTCAATCTAGGAAACGTTATCAATAGTAACTACTGTGCACTAAGTATCTTCTTTGTGGCAAATACTGCATTTGTGCTGCACATAAATTCTCTTATCTTCAGAGCAGAACTACAAAATAGGTAGTTTCCCTTGCGTACAATGAAGGAAAGAACGATCGGTGCATTGCGAGGACTTGCCCAGATTAACAGCACAGAGCTAACACGTGGGAGACGTAAGATTGAACTCTTGGTCTCTCTGACTCAATCCCTGATATTTCTGCTACGTTCTGTTATCTTTCATATTGAAACTTTTAATGGTTAGATCCCAAGAAATCAAAGATTGGGCTCTATAAGAACTACAGGTCCCAGTCAAGGCTTTGAAGACTTTCTAATCACGGGGGGATTTTTCTTGATCTGGACTTGCCAAAAAGTAGCAGTTGTAAATAACCCAAGTTGGGCCAAATCTGACCTATGAACACATTCTTTTTGCCTTCCAAATTGTTTTTTGTTTTGGGTTTTTAAAAGTTTTAATTCCAGTATAATTAACATACACCGTTATATTTGTTTCAGGTGTACAACATAGGGATTCAACTCTTCCATCCATCACCCAGTGCTCATCACAGTGCCCTCCTTAATCCCCATCACCTATATCACCCATACCTGCCTGTCTCTGTATATTGCTTTAAATAGTAGAATCTGAATGTCTTCAGGCAGAGCATTTGCCCCTTAGTAGCCACAAGAATTACGCTCCCTGAACAGGATCGCAAATAGCAGGAAACTCAAGCCCATAGGCAACTGAGTTGGCAACCTTTCCAGGGTAAAGGGATAACAGCCTGTCAGGGAAGCTGACATACCAGACACCAGCACTGCTGGCAGCTATGAGTCCAATTGTCTCCACTCCGATAGAGCTTGTGTCCATTTTGATCTAAACATTGACTTGTGACCCTGGTGTCACACTCTGGGCAACAGAAAAGGTCAACACTTGGATTCCGGCAATCACAAGCGGTCCGTCGGCAGAATATCTTTCCGTCCTGTTTAGAAATGAGGCGAAGGAGGTTACATCATTAGGGAAACAAGGTAGCAGCACTATGAAAAGCAAGCCTTATAAACACTTTACAGAGCACACAGGAAAGATTTCTTTTTTTTTTTTTAAAGATTTTATTTATTTATTTGAGAGAGAGAGAGAGAATGAGAGAGAAAGCACATGAGAGGGGGGAGGGTCAGAGGGAGAAGCAGACTCCCTGCTGAGCAGGGAGCCCGATGCGGGACTCGATCCTGGGACTCCAGGATCATGACCCGAGCCGAAGGCAGTCGCTCAACCAACTGAGCCACCCAGGCACCCCAGGAAAGATTTCTTAGAGTCAAAGTACTCCCCTGGCCACCTTTCATTTTGTTCAAAACAGATGCACCCCTTTCCCTGACCTTGCCTGCAGAGCAGCCCATGTAAAAATGGAGATATTTCGGGCGCCTGGGTGGCTCAGTCGTTAAGCGTCTGCCTTCGGCTCAGGTCATGATCCCAGGGTCCTGGGATCGAGTCCCACATCGGGCTCCCTGCTCGGCAAGAAGCCTGCTTCTCCCTCTCCCATTCCCCCTGCTTGTGTTCCTGCTCTCGCTATCTCTCTCTCTCTGTCAAATAAATAAATAAAATCTTTAAAAAAAAAAAAATGGAGATATTTCTAAGTTTAAAAAAGTCAATATGTTCTTTGAAACTTTTTTTCCCCTAAATGTTTCCCAAAAAATCACATTTCTAAGTAAAATTACCATTAAACTAAGCAGTTAAAAATGCATCTATGCTCAAGAACTTGTTTGAGTGGAAAATCATGCTATTGTATTTTTCCCAATTCATAACGATAACACGAAACACATTCAAAGGCATTCATTGAATTTTATCTCTGTCTCAACTCTGGGAGGATGTCTGACTATACCCTTTTTACAGAAGAATTAACTGAGGCCCAGAGATGCTAAATGATTCATCAAGTATGGAGTTAGCGATCTCTAAGGAACTCCGTCAGGGCTTCTGGTTTCAAAACAATTTTTCTTCTACAAGACAGGCTTTAGGTGGCTTATTACAAAGGGCTCTGATTAGCTGCCACCTTCCACCTTGAGGCAGTTACCCAAATAATAGGCCCAGTACAATTTCTGCAGTAATGGCCCTGAACACTCATAAAGACTTGAAGTTCAACAGCACTCAAACATTAAGACTGCACATTTGTAGCCTGTCCCCATTATACGTGTGTTGCTCACAGTAATTTCTCACCTCAGACAATAAAGACGCTGAAAATGTAAGGTAAGACCTGTGGCCACCATTTATGGTTATAACTGCTTTGCTGAATATTTACAAAACCAAAGACTCTCAGAGCCAGTCGTACCTTAAAGGACACATAACCAAGCCCCCTGGACCTATACTGAACCCTCTCTAGAGCAATCATATTCAAAAGTCATCAAGCCTGTGCTTGAAGCTCTCCTGTCTCAAGGAAGCCACCACTACGAAAGGCATTCAAAGTATATATCTCTGTTCATGTCTGAATGTCAAAAATTGGACTTCTTGTTGCCTCTATCCATTAATCCTTGTCCACACCCATTGCTAGTCACAGAACTCCCGGTCCTTTCTGTCACATTTTCAACTCTTTTGTTCTTAGAAGACAGCATTTATGTCTCCACTGAATCATCTCATCTCTGGATTAAACATCTCTAATTTTTTGACCAGTCCCACTAGTTTTGAGTCTCTTCACTGTTATAGTTGCCTTATCCTCAACAGTTTCAAGTATTTCCAATAGTAGTGGTAGTAGTAGTCGTAATAATAATAATTAATAATAATAATCTACCATAATTTTAACACTTATTTTGAGCCATACATTGTGCTAAGCCTTTTATATGCATTAGCACATTTGGTCTTGAGAATGCTGTGGAGTATGATTTACACTTGATTTCTCAAATGAGGTAGCTGAGTAAAAGAACTAAATATAATTCTTCAGTAACAGTCTGACAAACACAGTGAATTGGGACTCATGGTCACTTTCTTTAATGCAGCCTGATTTCAATATTTACTTCCCTACTTACTAAGGTTATGTCATGGTGTTGATTTATATTGAGCTTAATGAAGATTAAAACCTCATTAAGCCCTATCCCCATCTTGTGCACTCAGTTATCTGGGGGTAGCAAAAATAAAACCTCATGTTTATCCTTACTGTACTGCACCTTGTTAGGTCCATTTCATCTCTCCTGCCTGTCACAATGTTTTCTAAATGCTGTTTCTGTCATCCACCATAGTTTGTCCTCTTTCACAGCTTTATCTGCAAACTTGATGGACCTGCTCTCGGGGTCTTCATCTACTTCATCGATAACAATGTTGAACAGGACAGGGCTTGCTGAGACAAGTTTACTGTCAGCAAAAGTGGAAATCTTTAAATGCTTTACATTTTTTTTTTTAAGATTTTATTTATTTATTTGACAGAGAGAGACACAGCGAGAGAGGGAACACAAGCAGGG